GTACAGGAAGTGGAATTCAACTGACCAGCTGTTAATGGGCTGGTTGCACTCTTCTATGACACTAGAAATAGCTATGAGAGTCATGGGATGCACCAGTTCAAATGCATTGTGGACTGCAGTAGAAGAAAGCTATGGTATACTGAACACGTCAAGGGTTATTTTTCTTACTGGAGAGCTGCAAGAACAAGGAAAGGATCCATGACTATGGATAAATATCTCACCATTGTTAAACAGCTAGCTGATAACTTGCTGAAAGCTGGGAAGACAGTTGATCATAGTGATCTTGTGATTCAAGTCTTACCAGGTTTAGATGAAGAGTATACACCCATTGTAGTGCAAATCAATAGTAGGGAAAGCATATAATTGAGTCTAACACAAACATTCTCAACCTCATACTTCCGAGAGTTCATTGAGTTTTCTTCCATTTAACATTGAGTCTAATACAAAACAATACCTCAAAGTGTTGTTGATATAACTCATCCTATTGCACCAACTGTACCAAATTTCTCCGTCACAGAACCAGATCTTGAGGAAGAACATGAGTTAAATGAAGGAAGTAATATTGAAGTGCATCAAGATGAACTAATTGATCAGGAGGATATTGGCATTAACCTGGGTGACTCAGGAGATGAAGAAGTAAGAAATGAGTCGAGTCTTCAGGATCATAATACAACAGAGGTAACTAGACAATACAGGGTTACTAGGAGCAAAGCTGGAATCTTCAAGCCAAAAGTCTACATAAGCCAAGCACAAGATAAAGTAGTAGAAACTGAACCTTCAACTGTTGAAGATGCATTACAGAATGATAGTTGGAATAAGGCGATGTAGGATGATTACAATGCTCTAATGAAAAATAAGACATGGACATTAGTACCTCCCAAAGCTAGAATGTAGATATTAGGAAGCAAATAGGTGTTCAGGTTGAAGTACAACTTTGAAGGCAAGGTACATAGACATAAAGCAAGGCTGGTAGCTAAGGGATTTCTTCAAACACCTGGAGTTAATTATGGTGAAACATTCAGCCCTGATATCAAAGCATCAACCTTGAAAATCATCTTAACTCTGACTTTTTCAAGGGATTGGCATATCAGACAAGTTGATATCAATAATGCTTTCTTGAATGGAAGCTAAATGAGACAGTGTATATGCATCAGCTACAAGGCTTTGTGGATAAGAGAAACCCTAGGTTTGTGTGCAAGTTGAAAGAGCCTTGTATGGGCTAAAGCAGGCTCCAAGAGTGTGGCATGAGAAACTTAAAAACATCCTGCTAACATGGAACTTCAACCAGTCTAGAGCGGATAATTCACTCTTCTTCCTAGTTGATAGTGCATCTGTATTGTTTTTATTGGTATACGTAGATAATAATAATAATAATAATAATAATAATAATAATAATAGGAAGCCACAATCAAAATTGCAAAAGGTAATTGATAAGTTGAACAATTGTTTTGCTCTTAAGGATTTGGGAAAACTTAATCATTTTTTGGGTATGGAAGTGCACAGAGACTCGGCAGGACTATATCTAACTCAAACAAAATACACCATTGATCTACTCAAGAACTGTGGCTATGAGCATCTTAAACTAAGCTGAACCTCAATGGTAGTTGGTAAGTTGGTCTCAAAAACTGATGGACAGGTTATGGAAGATCCAACCTTGTATAGAAGTGCAATAGGTGGTCTTCAATATCTGGCACATACCGAACCTGATATCATCTTTTGTGTAAATAGAATGAGCCAATGTCTTCAAATTCCCATATATACTCACTCATTGGAAGCACTAAAGAGAGCGTTCAGGTACTTGAAGGGGACACTAAATCATGGTCTTGCCATTCATAAAAGTGACAACCTTGATATTAATTCATTTGTTAATTTTAACTGGGCATCGTGTTTAGATGATAGGAGGTCTACATCATGGTATTGTGTATATCTTGGAGATAATCTAGTATCCTGGAGTTCTAAGAAATAACAAGTTGTAGGAAGGTCGAGTACTGAGACTGAATATCGAGCTTTGGCTCACAATGCATCTGAAATCTTATGGATTCAATCTTTAATCCTGGAATTGAACATACCACAAAGGAAAATTCCAAGAATCTGGTGTAATAACTTGAGTGCAAGCACATTGGTATCAAATCCAGTTTATCATGCATGCACCTAGCATATTGAACTCCATGTTCATTTTGTACGTGATAAAATACTAAAAGGCAAATTGGAAATCAATTATATACCATCATCAGATTAGACAACAGATTTGTTGACAAAGCTCTCACTCAAACCAGATTTCTGTTTCTAAGAGACAAGCTTGGAGTGGTTGAAACACACTCCATCATGAGAGAGGGTGTTAGAGTGATGAACTCAACATGACACTACTACCTGCCAGCCGCCATCTAACCGTATCCATAGTAGAAGATAAGGCACATACTGATACTGGAATGTATTTAATCGATTAGGCTACATGTCAAAGTTGTTAGATAAAATATTCTCTCCTTGTATGCATTGTATGTATAGCTATCTTTGTATATATAAGTTGTATGGAATACATGTGCCTAGAATGTATTTAATCTGTTAGGCCACATGTCAAAGTTGTTAGATAGTATATTCCCTCCTTGTATGCATTGTATGTATAACTATCTCTGTATATATAAGTTGTATGGAATGCAAAAGCTAATTGAGCTAAAAATTATTCAATTATCTGTTTATTAGACTAATTGACAACATTTTAAATTGTTGTAGGTTCATATCGATCTTCTAAATGATTACAAAGAGAATGCATGCGATGATTTAGATGGTGAGAAGTTTGTTAATAACTGAAATATATTTGAGGCTGTACCTGATTTATGTCTTCTATTAACTGGGCAGTGAAGCTCCTTTAACAATTTTTCTATGTACTCCCAAATTCAGATATCGAAGAGGATGAAAAGGGAGATGGGATTGTTCTGCAACAATATCCATGAGACGAAAGGCTTTCACAAAGGGCATGACAATGATGACGGCGTTGGAGACTTGCACAAAGGATGCTATCATTGCATGGTTCCAAGGGGAAGTTGTGGCCAACGCCATCATTGATGCACTCTGTAAACGCCTGAAGTTACTTGAAATGGTGTTCCGATGGATTATGAATCAATGTTCAGTGCTATTATCATAGGAGGTTGAATTGGATCCCGATCCACCAGATGCAGTAATACTATTCGATTGCTGATGTCAAACTAGAGCTTCAAAAGGTTGAAACCAAAAAGTGTGAAGAAAGCGAGGTGGATGAAACGATTGATCAGAAAGAGAAAACTCGTTCTATAACAAATGCAGATGAGATGTTGTGATGAACGAGTTTTGATATATTATGTTTCGATTTTGGAGTCATTCTTGAACTTGGTTAGCATTGCTTGAAGGGTTCTATAAGAACAATGGTTATCTTGTTGTGTCTTGCAATGGTGGACTAAATCAAATGTGAGTAGCTGTAGTTGTCTTCAATTTGTTACAATGGATAAAAATGTTTTCGAAAATTGATTTTTTCTTGTAATATGTTTTGAGTTTCTTGCAATGGTCTACTCAATCAAGTGCAAGCGCCCTTTGGCAACAATGTTCAGATACAATAAGATGGATAGTAGACAACAATAAAACATTGCATACTTGCCTGCAGTTACCATTAGAGCTAATTTTAATTTTTGTTTGCAATTTCCAAAAGCCAACGTGACGATAAAGGACAAATTCCTTGTCATGTGCTTTTATAAAATTCATGTTAGTCGACAACATGAACGAAAAGTGACATGTTGTATCACTTTTAAAAAAAAAAATTGTCATTTTTTTTAGTTTCTGTCATTTTCAACATATAGATGGTTGTATTCCCAAAATGAAATTATGTTCTACATTTAGTTAATACAATCGAATCATAATCACAAAGAGACAATATGTAGAAAAAATAAATTATCCCCTTGATCTATTATACGATTTTGATTGGTGTTTATCACTTTTTTTTCGTGTTTCATTTTTATTTTTTTAATTTTCTTCTCTTCCAATTAATAGCGTGTTGTGCTCCTAAAATAAAGTTATATTCAGTGAAACATAATCACAAAGAGACAACACGTAGAAGAAAATCAACAACCTTTAAATCTATTCTAAGGTTTCACTTTTTTGAATTTTCATCATTTAATTGAATTGGTTCCATATTTAATGCTACAGAAACAAAGATCATTTAGGACCTGTTTGAGCCCGATTTATATTAGAAGAATGGATTTTGGAATAGTAGATTAATGTAAAATGTGCCGTTAAAAAGTAAGAATTTTTTTAGATTTACGTGTAATATTATTTTATTGAAAAATGTGTAATTGCAAGAAGAGGGAAAATGTATTTTGAAAACAATGGCTTAATCTTTCTTAAGCATGCCAATTGTCGAAGTAAATATCAATCAGAGTGAAGAAACCAACTTAGCCAACCTATCCAAAATAGGAATAACCGTCAACCACAGGAAACGCCCGATGACGACTACCTCTCCTTCAATAAGACCAAGGCTTATCTTCACCCATATTTGGGCATCCTAGTTGTCACTTGCCCTACATTGGAGTTAACATCTGCAAGACGGTGGTGAATATGGGAAGTAATCTTAACATACTGAATATAAACACACTCAATTGGATGAGAATCCTTCTCAATTTCTTAAAGTCATACTCAAGTCCACTCCTTGGATTAAATTGAGCACTGATTGTACCTAAGGGAAATATTGCATTGATTGTTGAAGAAAGCGAGTCCCCTTGAAATGTCAACATCATAGTGGAGTTTGTGGTGATAGTCTCCCCTGACTATATGATGCCTTATGGGGCAACCTCTGCTCTATGACTTGTAGACAATCATTTTCTTATATAATTAATTGTCGAAGTTTAGGCGAGGTCAAAGGATATATAGAGGTTGCTAAAAGATGTTACATTCTACATCGTCCAATCGATTTGAACGTTTCCATCCTAGACCTCAAACGGTATGAGTGGCTAGTTATGACATCATTCCACTGGACACTAAGATAAAATCTCCCGATAGGGGAACCGAGGCAATTGAAGAACTGGATAAGTTTGAGGTGAGATTAGATCACCTACAAAGACAGCTTCGCATAAGATGCAAGCTATGACAACCACTTTGATCTAAGATCATGGATTTCTTAAAAACAGACTTGGACATTTTTGCCTGGTGTAAACAAGAGATGAAAGGAATTAATGCTAATACTGCCTGTCACAAGATTAACATCAACCATATAACTCAGCTATCTAAGGAGACGACACTAAATCCCTAAGAGATATGAAACCTTATGGAAATAGGTGGAAAATATTCTAAGCAATGGGTATATTAGAAAACCTATACCCAAGATGGGTCGCCAATCTGGTATCAGTAAAAAAGAATAATGTAGGCGGAAGGTGAGCTTGCCACTTGAGCGCCAGTCTAGCGCTAGGCAAGCAGCAAAATCATTGTTTTTACTACCCGAGCGTTGGCTCTGGGGTAGGCTAGCACCGAGAGTCCTTTTCTTCATCAACTTTTTGAAGTCTGATTCTTCATCTTCTTCTTGTATATCTTTAACATCTATTAAGACTCCATCATCCCCAAACTCTTTTTACTATAAGTTGGACTTAACACTGCCTATTTTGACTTTGATTACAACTCAATTAAATCATAATACAAATAAACTAAAACATGATTTTAACTTAAGAAATTGCTCATTACAAATATAGACTTAACAATCTCCTCATTTGGCATTTCGAGACGAAATAATTTATTTCAAAGTCAAAGGCCAATATAATCTACCCAATAGATACTTCCAAAACTTTACTTCATCAACTTGTGTTGTCAGAAACACGTGGAAACAAAAATACCACGATAAAAGTAAAAGGAAACGATAATAAATATAATCATTTTTTAAAGTTATATAAAATAACATAATAAAACATGTGTAACACCAAAACGTGCAATACCTCGTGAATTACTAACTTAAAAATAAAGTATAGAATTTTAATATCAATATTGACAATATGCAAAACCCAATATCAGTAATAAAATTCCAATAGAAATATCCATATGACTCCCTATAAAAATCAAAATTTCAAATTTAAAAATCTCCCCCTAACTTATATATTCAATTTCTTAAAATAAATACTAATCTCTCCCCTTTTTGTCACAAATAATAAAGGAAAAATAAATAATAATCATTAAGAACATGGAGAGGAATGGGTTAAAAAAATATGCATATGTACCATTATACAAAAATTATGCAAAGCATGTGATAAGGGAATAAAAATTTTCCTTTTTGAG